TTACTATGAAGTAGTAGTATAGAATAAAAACAGCTACAAAAAACAATCAATTCAATTGTTTCTAAAGAACAAAATTTTGCAAACTTTTATCAAAATCACTGCACTTTTATATCTGAAAATCTGCACGATATACTTTTACTTATTACGTACATTTCTTTAATACTTTTACTTTTTCACGTAGGAAAGGAAAGGAGGAGAAGAAGAGATAACCAGAACTGAAAGTAGTTTTTTTTTTTTTGCAAGTACAATTACATTTTTGTTTACATCCATTACATAAGATTATGATTATTTTTCTTATGATTATTGTTTCAAAGTAAACTACTTTAGTAAACTACAGGTATCTTGGCTTTCTGCTCCACTACATTTTTGATTTGTACTGAAAAGTAAAACTATTTTTTATTATAGTTTGAGACCTGCTGATTACTACTACTATTACTACTACTACTATTACTATTAAGTAGTAGTATAGCTTAAAAACAGCTACAAAAAAACATCGATTCAGTTGTTTCTAAAGAACAAAATTCAGCATAATTATATCAAAATCACTGCACTTTTATATCTGAAAATCTGCACGATATACTTTTACTTATTACGTACATTCCTTTAATACTTTTACTTTTTCATGTAGGAAAGGAAAGGAGGAGAAGAGGAGATAACCAGAACTGAAAGTAGTTTTATTTTTTTTATTTTTTTTTTTTGCAAGTACAATTACATTTTTGTTTACATCCATTACATATGATTATGATTATTTTTCTTATGATTATTGTTTCAAAGTAAACTACAGGTATCTTGGCTTTCTGCTCCACTACATTTTTGATTTGGACTGAAAAGTAAAAGTATTTTTTATTATAGTTTGAGACCTGCTGAAAACACTTCAGGGTTACTATTACTACTACTATTACTACTATTAAGTAGTAGTACAGAATAAAAACAGCTGCAAAAAACAATCGATTCTCTTGTTTCTAAAGCACAAAATTTTGCAAAATTATATCCAAATCACTGCACTTTTATATCTGAAAATCTGCACGGTATACTTTTACTTATTACTTTTTACGTACTTTTACTTTTTCATGTAGGAAAGGAAAGGAGGAGAAGAGGAGATAACCAGAACTGAAAGAAGTTGTTTTTTGTTTTTTTTTTGCAAGTACAGTTAAATTTTTATTTACATCCATTACATATGATGATTATTATTTTTCTTATGATTGTTGTTTCAAAGTAAACTACTCTCGTTTAATGTCATATTAAGAGAAAATCAAATTGCTCTGAGGTCTCGGCCATTAGTGGCACTGAGGGAAATTGGTTGGGGGCCCCTCCAAGTTTGGGGCCCCTTGGCAGCCGACTAATTTTGCCTAATGATAGCACTGCCTCTGAGTATACCAGTAAGCTGAAACTTCCTGAAATGCTCAATGATTTCATAACTGCACAAAGTGTGTATTTAAGGAAACTATCAGTGTTACAATTATGTATTTTATTTACTTTGCAGTGTCTTAAAGATTTTATATTACAACAAATGAACTTTAAGTCATGTTAGAATGTTGATTCCTCATCAAAACAGACCTGGAGTTGCGTTTTGTTTCATTCATGTTTGAGTAATCATTTATTATTAGTCTGTCTGCATCTCCAAACCTCAAAATGCTCCACCTTGTTCCACCTTGTGATGTCATGTAGTAGTTTTCACATTAACAGCTCCTTTCACTTTAGTTCAGAGACTGGCAGCTCTGAAATTAGGGCTGAAACTCTCTAAATGATTCTACTGAAGGTGAAATTTAAAAACACACTGGAGCACTTCCCGCATTACCGCATGACATCACAAGGTGGAACAGCGCGTTTGCAGTTTGAGAGAAGAACTCAGCCTAAATACGCAAACAAAAAAACACAATTCCGGGTCCGTTTGCGACGACGAAACAACATTAGAACACAGATCAGAAAATATCGTAATATGGGCCTTTTACGCACCAGAAAGTTCGTTTAAAGAAAGAAAAAAAAACAAAAAAACAAGGGCAACGTTTTGTAAAGCCAGACGAAAAAAAAAGGCAGATTGGGTTGCACAAATGAAAAGAGGACAGAGAATATGAGAGAGTGTGTATAGAAAGATAAGGCATTTGACTGTCTTAAGCTGGTACACAGGGACGGTAATATTTGGCAAGCTCCAATCGCCATCTGGTCCCAACATCCACACGCGTAATAAAGACTGATAACTTTGGGGTTTGGAGCTGATCCGGGAAATTGCTCGAAAAAAAATAAATAAAAGAAAAGGGAGAAAACAAAAACAAAAAAAAAGTATGTTGTAATTTTAAAACGCAAATTCAAGGTTGAAGTTTTGGCGCGAACGATGATTGTAAAACTGGTGACGAAAGTGTACAGGAGGGGATGGTGTTAGCTACGAGAGCAAATTGAGCAGGAAATATGTTTGTAGGTTACAGATAAAAACACAACTTCAGGTAGGATTTAAAAACGCGTATTTAAATTTGCAAAACGCATAAAAACGTATACAAAAAAGTACAGCTAATAAAAGACAACCAGTGGTGGAATATAACGAAGTAAAAGTAGTAAAGTACTTTATTTATGTTTTAAAAAATGAGGTATCCGTACTTTACTGTACTCTACTTTTACTTCACTACATTTGAGAGCAAGTATCTGTGCTTTCTACTCTACTACATTTTTAAACTCGACTGAAAAGTAAAATTATTTTGTATTATAGTTTGAGATTTGCTGAAAATGCTGCAGGTTTACTTTTACTACTACTATTACTACTATTACTATGAAGTAGTAGTATAGAATAAAAACAGCTACAAAAAATAATCAATTCAATTGTTTCTAAAGAACAAAATTTTGCAAAATTATATCAAAATCACTGCACTTTTATATCTCAAAATCTGCGCGAAATACTTTTACTTATTACTTTTTACGTGCATTTTTAAACAGGTACTTTAATACTTTTACTTTCTCGTGTGACACTTTTACTTTTACTTGAGTATTTCTTCGCTCCGGTACTTGTACTTTTACTTAAGCATCAAACTCGAGTACTCCTTCCACCACTGAAGACGACAAAGGCCAAATCTTCGAGTATCAAAACGCTCAAATCCGTATTTCAGATTTGAGACGCAAGTTCAACGTTTGACAGCAAATTAATAATAAAAACAGCACAAGCGTCGAGCGTTACAGCGAGGAAAAGGGCTACGAGGAGAGAGATGTATGTCCAGTCATTCTAAGGAAGATAAAACGAACAAAAATACAAACCTAAGGCAAAATTTGTGAATAAAAACAAGACACAAACATACAGTAGTAGAGTAATTCAGAAAGAGCTAGACTTTTTCAGGCTCCATAAATACTGTGTGTACCTTTTTTCGCACTAACAAGGATTTTTTGTAGTAATGTTTTTCATAATATCAGAACTGTAGAGCTACTTTGTCAAATAATAACATGTATACAGTGTTAAATTGCAGTATTTACATATTTACGCTGCTTCAATTCCTGACAGATTTAGTTGGATAATCCTGCTTTAGGGTTTTTGCGTCACTGATACTAAGTGCTTTCAGTGTTATCGTTTATCGGGTTATGTTTCCGTAGCGATATATCGTCGTACTGAATCTGATATCGCGACAGGCCTATGCACACGAAGCAGAAAATAAGCATAAATAATAAAGGTCGGTCATTGTAAAGTAGATAATAGAGGCAAAAATGCAAGTTCGGGTTTGTGAAGTCATAAAAACAACACGAGAATCGAGCGTTACTCTAAAGAATCGTGAGTCGGCTCTTTGGAACGGTTCCTGGATGTGAACTGTTGGAAAGAATCGAGAATTTTCTTTGTAGTTTCTATGCATTTTTACGCTGAAACAACAGAAGAATCAGCAGGATTAGAGGAGTAAACGTGAGTGAGAGGTTTGTGTGCTAAAAACATACCTGGCCTTGTAATAATTCATTGTTATTATTATTTTCGTGTAATATTTTAAGGAGATTACGGTTAATTTCACATTTATAAACACGTTTTAAACAGATTTTAGCCTTGGTCGTTTCTCTCGGTGATTAGTTTGTAGTTAAAATGAGGTTTCTGTCAGATAAATAAATATTAAATTAAGAAATGCTCCTTGTATCCAAAAGATTCGGATCTCCAATCACTGGTAAGGAAAAGTGGAGTGAACAAAAGCCAGATTTAGCAGTATGGGCTATTTACAGTCATTCTAAGGCAACTAATACGGGCCAATCTTTGTGGGAAAATTAGCTGGAGAAATGGTATCTTGGCTCAAATGTGTGCGTAATGGCCTCGTATCTGGCAGCGGTAGCGATGGATGGATGGCGCAGCCTATGTGTGTGAGCGAGTGTAACGCGCTCTCCATTTGTCCATAAGATTATGAAGAGTTCACGGAGAGTTCAGCATCTTTCAAGCGCGTTTTTCCCCTGCACGGCTGCGTCCAATCACACGCCACGAGCAGCGACAGCCACACATTAGTTTAACACTAACTTTATCATCAGTCAGCGGGGAAGGGCTGTCTGGGAGTGCGGGAACACGGGAGGGTGTTTACGGGGAAGTTGCGCTGTTTAATCCGGTAAAGACGTGGATTTGAATGGATCGTTTTAATAATTAAGCTCATTTGGGTAACACGGGAAGCGACCTGCTGTTGTTTTAACCCAAAAGTGTCACAATTTTACCGTTTAATTAAGAGTTTGACGCAAAATTTGACAAACGTGACTATTTTGTTTTAGCTTAACTCAAAAGTCTTACATCGTATTTTAAGTGAGCTACAAATTTGAGCTTATTTTAAAGTAAAATACAACAAATTCAGAATTAATGATGGTTAAATGCTGTGGAATAAAATGAGGAAACAGACAAAATTGTGGGAAAACTAAAACTTGTGTGAATATAAACATTAAACTCGTGGCGTATCTGTGCGTAAAAGCAGCGTAAGAGAAAAAGTAAAAGTTTGGAGCTAAAAACAAACATTTAAACCAAATCAGCGGGAGATTACACCGATGTTAGTGGGTAAAAGAACCGGGCTTACCAGCTGCCCTCTTCGGCGCTTGCTGTTTCCTCCGAGGCATGGTCGTAGCGGTTCAGGTGCGGAGCGAATGCGGGCTATAGTCCATGCAAACACCGCTTCTCGAGTCCGTGTCTTCCGCCGCGCTTTGGGGGTCTCCTCGCTTCGCTCTCCGGAGGCAAGAAAAAAAAGAAAAAAAAAAAAAAAAAAAGATCCGGTCACACGCGAAAAGAAGCCGACGAAGCAGCGAGCTCTCACCGTCCTGCTCCTCTCCTCCTCCCGCTACAACAACCACAGCCGCTGGGGGCGAACCATGCCTCCTCCGCCGAATCCGCGTACGGCTGATCGACGCTTGTCACTCAAAGTAGTCGTTTTGTTTTGTTTGGGGCTCCGTGAGAACAGGTATCGTGCCCGCTCGGACGCTTTTTTACAGTAGTGGCGGATTTACGCGCGGTGCAGGCGAGGGGAGAGACGCGATGCCAGCAGATGCAGCGAACATCGATCCATAGAACAAACTGAACATTAAAAACTCCTCCCTCCTCGCCCGGACTTGATGATGGCAGCAGACATTTGTTACACTAGATAACCGTGAGTTTATTAAAGGCGCAGAGGCCAGAGAAAGCGCGAGGAGGAGGAGGAGGAGGAGGAGGGAGAGAGGAGAGGAGAAGAGAAGAGGAGAGGAGGGAGAGATGGCTTTGTTCCTCCACGCACGCTGCTTCCGCCCTGCGCCACGATCAAAGAATAAAGTTTGTGGATGAGGTTTGGGGGAGACGGAGACGCGCCGGGTCGTGTCCGTACAGTAGTAGTACACGTGATGTTACTGGCTACTTCGTTTAACCCGCAGAAAAGCGTTAAAGGGCCCGTATTACCCGATTTTCTGATCTGATTATCTGATTATCTTGTCTCAAAAATCTGGAGTTGTGTTCTTCTCTCAAACTGGAAACACTCTCTTCCACCTTGTGATGTCACGTCGTAATGCAAAGGATGTCCACACGCAGTGTTGGGAAGGTTACTTTTAAAATGTATTCCCCTACAGATGACAGATTACAGATTACATACCTCAAAATGTAGTTTGTAACGTAATCCATTAAATTACTTAAAGTGAGTAATGTAATCTGAATACTTTGGATTACTTGATTTGCTGTAGAGAAGCAAAGACGAGGAAATCATAACATAAGATGTTTTGTCTGATAAAAGAAAATAAAAAGCCCAGACTTTCCTTAACCGTATTAAAAATATTATTGATAGAATGGTTTCATCCTGTTAAATCCTGTTTTAGTCCTGGTTTAGATCTATTTTAGACCTGGTTTTAGCCCTGGTTTAGACCTGGTTTTAGTCCTGGTTTAGTCCTGGTTTAGTCCTGGTTTAGACCTGGTTTAGATCTAGGTTAGACCTGGTTTTAGTCCTGGTTTAGTCCTGGTTTAGATCTAGGTTAGACCTGGTTTTAATCCTGGTTTAGACCTGGGTTCAGTCCATGGTTCAATCCTGATTTAGTCCTGGTTTAGTCTTGGTTTTAGTCCTGGTTTAGTCTTGGTTTTAGTCCTGGTTTAGTCTTGGTTTTAGTCCTGGTTTAGTCTTGGTTTTAGTCCTGGTTTAGTCTTGGTTTTAGTCCTGGTTTAGTCTTGTTTTAGTCCTGGTTTAGTCTTGGTTTTAGTCCTGGTTTAGTCTTGGTTTTAGTCCTGGTTTAGTCTTGGTTTTAGTCCTGGTTTAGTCTTGGTTTTAGTCCTGGTTTAGTCTTGGTTTTAGTCCTGGTTTAGTCTTGGTTTTAGTCTTGGTTTAGTCTTGGTTTATAGTCCTGGTTTAGTGTGCGGCAATGAGTGGAATTACTAAAAATTAAAAAAAATTTAAATAAGGGATTTAGCCCAAAATGTGAAAACAGGACAATACCGCTATGTAATCCATATATTTCAACAAAGTAACTGTAATCCAATTACCACTCACTGAAACAGTAACTGTAACTGAATACAGTTACTCATAATTTGTACTCTGATTACATAACTCTGGTACATGTAATCTGTTACTCCCCAACACTGTCCACACGTCCATATTTACCCGGGACAGTCCCAGGTTTGAGCGCTGTGTCCACTGATTTTGTTCAGATTTATACAAAACCAGTGATTTGTCCCAGTTTTATCCAAGAAATGTCCAAAGTGTTGCTATTTGTGATCCCTGAAAACAGTAAAGAGACTCGTATATTGTCATTTGTTTTGATAAAATACAGAAAAGATGCTTAAAAATCGCCAAAACACAAAATATGACTACAATTTTCCTTAATTAGGCACTCGTTTCACAATTTTATTATTATGAACCAACCCAAAACAGGGATGTTCAAGTTTTTTAGTTTGAAAATCTGGTTACCCAAGTAATACAGGAAGTGCTCCACTGTGTTTTTAAACTCCATACACCTTCACTTGAATCATTTGGGTGATTTCAGACCTGGAATTGCTAAACTCTACTGAACAAAATGTAAAAGGTCGCCTGATTCACCAGCTGGTTTCTCTTTGTGGAAACTGTCTGACCTCTCAGCATTAGGATTTGTTCGCAGTGGGGGGGGTACTGTTTTTATTTAACCAAACGCTGCTATTTGGTTGTGACGTATGTAATGTGCCAAATCCCATAGGAAGAAGGACAATAACGTCTTTCCCCTTGATAAAATTCACCAAACATTCTCTTTATTCCAGCTTTAAATCTGTGATCTCAGGAATCGTTGCCAACACAGAATGTCTGTCTCTTCGCTGATTGGCTGGTGCCCGAACTCACACTTCCGGGGTTTTTGCAAAGCATCTAGTGTATTTCAATTCCTGATCTAGTCACTGGAAAGAAATGAAATTGAGAGGAGGCACTAGGTGGCGCCACTTGAAAACTACAGCTTCTTGACATCACATGGTGGACAGGTTCATGATAAAGTTATGCCGGGCGTACACTTGTACACTGTGCGATTTTTGACCCTTTTTGAGCCGATTTTTTGCTCGTGCGACTGTTTTGGGGATCGGGCCGAGTTTTGGCTTCATCGTGTGTCGTGCTTCGTGTAGTTTACATGGGGTAAAGAAAACCGATTAATGACTCACGACCAGCTCCCGATCGACATTCGTAGGTCGCAAGAAAATCAAACTTGTTTGAAATCCAGTCGCCTCTCGTGAGGATTTCACTCTGTTGAAGTTGTTCCACGAGCCGATTTGCCAGAATCTGGCAGACTGCACATGCGCGGACACAGAAGTGGCTCAGCATTGTGTCTCCGCACATCTGTGGTTTTCTAATTCCGTGGTTTTCTTCTTCGTGGTTTTCTACTTCCGGAACAACAACTTTGACAACTCCGGTCGTTATGTGAACGTACAGTGTGAGCAGGCAGGTCGCATCCGAGCATCGGTTCGTTCAGTGTGAGAACATGATTCGTGAGCTGTGAACTTTTAAACCCTCTGATTTGGTCGTACAGTTTAAGCTGGGGCTGAGTGACACGACCGAAAATATCGTCCAGTGTACACCCGGCATTAGTCAGATGAGAATGTGAATGAAAAAAAAATACAACGCCAGGTAAAATACGCAATTGTAACCACTGACAATTTGCTTAAATACACAAGGAGTTTCCACTTACTGGTGGCCTATATGCAAAATTGTGAGGATTTTAATAATAAGAGAGTAGGGATGTAACGATATCCAAGTCTCAGGATACAATATCGTCACTGTATGAACCTCACAGTACGATATTTATTGCAATATTGTGGGAAAGCTCACGATATGGTGGAGAGGCTAACGATTAAGGATGTAACAATATCCAAATCTCTCAGTACGATGTTTTCACGATACACATCTCACGGTACGATATTTATTGTGATATTTTGTGAAGGTGAACAAAACTGTTAATATGCTACTTTTTCCTCTTAAAATGCCTTGACAAGACTTAATCCAAAGACTTAAAAGTGTTAGAACTGTTATTTCTTCTTGTTGTCTACATTGAAATGAAGCAAAGGATCATGGTCTATGTAGTTCCCTCTGTGTTTTTTTAGCTGTTGCTGCATCATAACTCTTGTCTCTTGTGATGATCCACGATATTATTGTGACCGATATTTTATAATAATTTATGTAGAAGACAGGAACAAAAAGATAAAAAAAATTGAGGTATGAGACTTTATTTCAAAACTCCAAAATGCTCCTCTCCACTGGACCTTCTTCTCCTTCTTTCTCTCTTCCTCGCTCCATGTCTCCTCCTTTCCTCTCCTCTCCACTACTCATCTTTCCTTTCCTCATCTTCTCTCTCTTTCCTCCTCCTCCATCCTCTCCTCTCTTCCCCTCTTTTCCACCTCTCTACTTCTTCATCTGTCTCCTGCTCTCTCTCTCATCCTCACTTTCTTTCCTCCTTCTCCTCCTTTTTCCTCTCACTCTCTCCTCTCTCTTCTTCTTTCTCTGTTCCTCGCTCCATGTCTCCTCCTTTCCTCTCCTCTCCACTACTCTCCTTTCCTTTCCTCGTCGTCACTCTCTTTCCTCCTCCATCCTCTCCTCTCTTCTCCGTCCCTCTACTCCTCTCATCTATTTCTATCTCCTGCTCTTTCTCTCTAGCCCTCACTCTCTTTCCTCCTCCTTCTTTTTCCTCTCACACTTTCTTTTCCTCTCTCTCCTTCTTTCTCGGTTCATCCTCTCCTCTCTCCCCCTTCTTTTTCCTCTCACTCTCTCATACCTCCTCTCTTCTCTCTCTCTCCACTCTCTCCTTTCTCTCCTTCTTTTTCTGTTCCTCATTCCATGTCTCCTCCTCTCCTCTCCACTACTCATCTTTCCTTTCCTCATTGTCTCTCTTCCCCTCTCCTCCACCTCTCTATTCTCTCGTCTAATTTTGTCTCCTGCTCTCTCTCTGTCATCCTCACTCTCTTTCCTCCTCCTTTTTTTCCTCTCCTCTCTCCCTCCTTCTCTCCCCCTCTCAATCCTCCTCTCTCCTGTTCTCTCTCTCCACCTCTCCCCGTCTCCTTCTCCTCTTTCCTCACACACTCTCCTCCTCTCAATCCTCGTCTCGTCTCTCTCTCACCCCCTCCTCTCTCGTCCTCTATCTCTTCTCCTCCTCCTTTTTCCTCTTACACTCTCTCCTCTCTCTTCTTCT